TGACGATGGAGTAGATAATAAAATGGTTCTAATATTTTTACACGTTCACATGTAGCAGTTTCTTGATCACGAAGGATACGACTGAACAGCTTATATTAGAAAGATTCTTTTGTATAGGGATAGATCAAGTTTTACCGACGTCTGACGGAATATGAGTTATGTAGTTTTGAACTTTTTTGTTAGCACCTGATGATTTAATTTTTAGTAGCTGTTCAGCTAAGCAATGTGCTTCTTTTCCTTTTGTCAAGTGCTGCTCCTTCCTTAGGGATTCCTCGTGCAGCTTCCTCCACGACATCACTAATTGTTTTATGTTTTTGGTACAGACAGTTATCAAAATAAACCTTTTCAAAATTACTATAACGTAGCCATCATTTATCACTTTTTATTGCTTCTTGGCTGGTCGACGTTGACATAGCGATTACCACTGGTATGAAACATCATCCCTCACGCAAGTGAACAATAGTACGATCTTTGTCAAGTTGAACATCTTTAACTGACATATTTCTGCCACATTTCCGTAGACCAAGGATCTACGGCTGAGTTACAATTCCATTGAAAATGATGTAAATAAACAAAAATCAGTGCGCAAGATGTAGAAGCGGTAACAGATGTCATGGTTTTATTTTTTTGCGAAGATCAAAAATGTGTTGTGTTTTGTTGATTGTTTGAATGAATATGTTCTCTTCTCCTTTTTTTCGTTTCAAAACGAAAAATAAAGAAAAAAAAAGCAATACAATTGGTTTCTTTTTGCTTTTGTACTGTGCACTGAATATATAGGTATGTTCTCTGCGTTAATCTGTGAAAATGAAAACTAGGGTGTAATGAAAAAGGAAAAAAGAAAAAACATGTCTGAATAATTAAAAAAATCCATTTAAACAATGCATACTATGCTGTACTACAGCATTCAACACAATTCTTTAGAAGTGCATTAGTTTTGTTCTCTCTTTCTCTTTCTCTATTTGAATGACATCTATAATATTGACCTAGTTCAACTGACAACTTACAAATATAGTGCCACCTGGGATACAAATACAAACACTTACACTATTTCATTACTCGTGTATTCAAGTGAGTCTTCATGCGGTATATCTGTTTCCATATTAAAAATTCGATGGAAAACTATCGCGTAACTGCTAATATACGACTGTGATTGGGCGAGGGGGGAGGGTAGGTGCGGGCTCGGCATGAATGAAAAGATCAATACCCACACTCTAGAGTTAGAAAAATCATGATTTCATTTTTGTAAACTTTCTATCGTTTCTATTATTTGTTGAAAACTTTTACGTATTCTATCATGATGATATGTAACTAGAAAGAGAAACGTTATATTGCTGTTTGCTTCGATAACGTCAATTACGTAAAACTAAGTCGATATAGTAGTTGTATTTGCAATAAATAGAAGCGTGTGCATAGACTTACAACGTGTCATCATATATAATATTTACTGCTGTTTTTCTTCTTTTCGTTCTGCTCTTGCATCTTTTCAGAGAAAAATATTTGCGTTATTCCTTATTTAAAAAAAATGTGACTATGCAAAATAACTTGCGGGACGCTGAGTTTGAGAAAAATTACTTTTTTTATGTAACATTGAGAAAAAATATCATAATTAAACCGAAACAAAGAAGAAAACAAGTTGGTAGAAAAATATTTGTCAAAAAGTATCGGTTTTTATTTTTTTTTTTAATAATATTTTAGAAATGGCAACTAAGGAAACAAGTTTAAGACAATGTATTGACGAACTTTCTGCAAAGAATACCGATTATAAATTTCCTGAACAAGCTATAAATCAAGCTGAATCATTAAAGTCCTTATCAAGTGATCTATATACAGATAACATACGATTTATTTATGAAGTAATACAGAATGCTGATGATGCTCAAGCGAAATATATCACTCTAACAATTCTAGAAGACAAATATTTCATTATTGCTCATGATGGTAATAAATGTTGCTTGTTTTATTGTCAATATATTACTTCTGTATAAGACAAACTTTTTAAGACAGGATGGTCGAGTAGAGACAATAGAAAATATAAATATTTCGTGTGCTTTAAGTATTCATGCAAGCGACATATTATATAGGGTTATCGTATCTTGAACTATCCAAATATATGAAAAAAAGGAGGATACAACTTTTAGTCAATAAACGCCATAGCCTAACACCTGCAAAACATAAAGTATAAAGATCGACGCAGTATAAAACGAAATTTAACATAGAGAGAGATAACAGAACATTTAGATTAGGACAGAACAGAAAAAATTCGTCATTTTTTTATCGGGCTGATGTAAACAGCAAATGAAAACTTCATAATAATAATCATATATTTTTATAATATCGATTTGATAGAGGACTTTAATAGCTATCGAATAGGCATGCTCCGAACCCGAATGTTCAGGTTCTCTGCATGCCTACTTCTGAATAGCACGGTTTATTGACAAAAAGGTCAATATTAGAATATTTCCTACAAAGTTTATGTTCTTCATGTGTTTTTGGCACTCATTCTGCTTCATCCGAATTGAAAGAATAGTTTTTGTATAGGAAAAGCGTTTGACGAAAAAGATTTACATGGTATATGTGGTGTTAATCATGGCACAAAAAAGAAAGATCTTGATAAAACAGGATATAAAGGTTTAGGATTCAAAGCAGTTTTTGGGAAATCCAATAAAGTTATAATCTATTCGAACGGCGAATCCTTTCGATTCGATTCTTCTTATCAAATCAAATGGGATAAACAATGGGGAGCTAATGATCAACAAACATGGAAAAAAGAAAATGATCGAGAATTCATTTATCCATGGCAAATTAATCCTGTATGGACTAATGACAATGAAATTCCGAGTTTTATTAGAAATTTTCTTAATCAAAAGAAAAATCAAATCCATGTAGCCTATGCAATTTTATTAAATAATGTTGGAGAAATTAATTCAGCTTTAAATCAATTAATACAACAACCATATATGTTTCTTTTTCTACGAAATATTTGTCGAATGACATTTTTAACACAATCAATTGATACTATTTCGATCGATCGTAATTTAAGTCATGGTTTAAAAAATGTTAATATTAATAAAGAAATTAATTCACAATGGATTATCAAACGTTTTGAATTAGATATTCCTGATGACATGCTTAAGAAGTTATCTAAAGATACCAAAGCACCAGAAAAATTACGTTTTATCAAAAAAGCAGAAATGTTTTTTGCTGCAAAATATAAACCTTTAATACATAATGCAAATGGAGAAGTGATTAGTGGTGGTATAGAAAAACTACGTGAACAAGATTCAGTTCTTTTTTCTTATTTACCAACTAAAATTTTTGAATATAAATTTCCCGTATTAATCAATGCTAACTTTTTAACAAATGTAAATCGAGAACAAATTCATACGGGTAAAATTTTTCTCAGTTTTTGTTAAGCTTTGTATACCAAAATTTGGTTTAGATTCTGTTTGGAATCAATGGTTATTTGATAAAATAAGTGGGGAAATTTTTCAATGGATAAAAGAATTGGTTAAAAATAATAAATTTCATTTTCAAGCTTATCGACTTATTCCATCGAAATTGAATCCAGAAAACAATATTTTAACAAAACGATTCAATGATTCATTTGCAAGATGTATCAATCATTGTAATTTTATTCGCAATAGAAAAAACCAATTACTACGAGTACGTCGAAAAAATTATTTATTAACTATTATTTCCTGAATAGAGTGTTGGTGGTGTGTGTGGGCTATAATTTTTTTCCGTTACCGGTATTGTATCATGTTCATTAGATGTCCTTTATGACAAGAGTTTTAGTTCAGGAGTTACATTTTCTAAGGTCACAGATGACGTTTGCTTATTTAAAATTATCTTTTCAAAAGCTTATTGTACAAGCTTGCATAGGATATATATTCAATAGAAATGAGAAATAAGCATGTCGATAATCGAATATTATCAAATTCATGATCAGAATTAAATTGATGAGAGACATCATTTTTCATTTTTCGATGATTTTAAGGTTAACGAAGTCATTATGGATTTAACAGCAATGTCCAAACAATCATCATTTATTAATATCACTTCAATGCGTGAATATATCATCAAGAATGAAGAGAGCTCCTCTCAATACGCTAATGATCCATTTATTGATTACGATTTGAACTTGAATCAAATAGGTGTGGAAAAATTTACTTGGGATCAGTGTATTAATATGTTTAAATCAGATATATTTCTCAAAACTCATTCAATTGAAGAAAATAAACGAATGATTGAATATTTTTATATAAAATATTCTAAGATCGATACAAATGATGGTATGGATATTGATATTCAACAAATTCCATTTCTACTGGATCAAAATTATCGTTTACAACTAATCAAAGATATATATTTTCCAGCTAATACAATGGGTGATAATGGAACAAATGATTCTGAATATATATTTGTAAATAAAACAATATTCGCTTGGTTAAATGAAAAAGCACAAAAAGGAATAAAACA